TCAGGACCCCACCTTGATGTTTCGGGACCCCGCTTTGGGTCCTGACCTCCACTTTGGGAAACACTGGTCTAAACAACCTCAGAACAACAACTAACAATAATCATGATTACACAAAGCACAGTAAGATTCCATATTCTTGTCCAACAGGTCATTTAGTTTGGCAGACTTTTTAAATTAATGTTAGAAATTGCAGAGAAACAGTRTCAATGCTGAGAGCTAATACATGCTAAAGTAGATAAAACTAAGATTAAARCTAAAAGAAGCTAAACTTTAGCTGAAAGATTACAAAAGCAGAACACTAGCAAAAGCAAAAAGAAGCAAAACACYAGCTGAAAGCAGCTATAGGGCAGGTAAAACTAGCAAAACGACAGCTAAAATGTAATAGTAGCAAAGAGCTAGCAAAAAAACAAATTATCACACMGCTAGCTCAAAGAATATATGAAAGCCTTTAAAAGCAAAAGACTGGYAATAGCTAAAAAATGCAAAACACTAGCTAACAGCAACTAAAGGGCAGCTAAAAGTAGCAAAAGGACAGCTAAAATTTAATAGAAGAAAGGGGTTAGCTAAAATTAAAAGTATCAAAGTCTAACTCAAAGAATCAAAACTATATGAAAGTTCACAATGGCAGTAGACTAGCAATAACTAAAAGAAGCAAAACAGTAGCTAAAAGCAGCTAAAGGACAGCCGAAACTTTATAGTAGCAAAGGGCTAGCTAAGAACAAAATATCACACGGCTAGCTCAAAGAATCYATGAAAGCCTATAAAAGCAAAAGACTGGCAATAGCTAAAAAAAACAACAAAAAACTAGCTAACAGCAACTAAAGGGTAGCTAAAGCAGCAAAAGGACAGCTAAAACTTTATAGTAGCAAAGGGCTAGCTAAAAATCAAAAGTATCAAAAAGACAAATCAGCTTGTAAAAGCTGACAATTACTAATAGCAAAACAGCAAACTAGCTAACGGCAACAATAAGGCAGCTAAAAGCAGCAAAACGAACAGCTAAAATTTACTTGTTGCAAATGCAGAGCTAAAAAAGTATCAAAAGGCTAGCTCAAAGAATCAAATCTAAAAGAAAGCCTGTAAAACCAAAAGGTTAGCAATAGCCAAAGGAAGATAATGTRCAGCTAATCATAGCAAGACAGCTAAAATTTAATAGTAGCAATGGGCTAGCTACAAACCTAAAGTAGCAAAACTGTAGCTAAAAGCTAAAGGTTTTAACAAGCTAGTTAAAAGAAGCTAAACAGTTACCTATGTTTGTGTGTGAATTTAGGAGATTTTTGTTTAATTATATTGGGAAAATATTTTATAATATAATTGGTGGTTGCTGACTCAGCGTTTACACAAAGTATTTTAAATCACAGTTAGGACAGTTTTTTGTTTCCTCATGTGTTTTTTGTGTTTATCGGTTCCCTCAGCGAGGCCCAGGGCCACGACAATCCCGTGTTCCTCGGCAGTTCGCCACAAGTTAAGACCCGGACCGTGTCTCAGATCATGACCAGGCAGTCCTCTGAAACTGGACGCCACTTGCTGTCGGACCCGGGAACACCCCTGTCCCCCGCACACGGAGATGTTTTCTTCCCATCTGAAGGTAGGATACGAGAGGATACCCGTGATCCGATGATATACAAGATTCAAATTTCATAACGGCCCGTTACAATCTGTTTTATAACCACTTACACCCGTATCTGCTGCGTATCACAGATTTATACGGTCATTTAAAAGGGTAAACAGAAGCAGCAGCTCGTTGCAGCACTTCCTGTTTTGAAAAATTAAGATCCTAAATAAGACATTGACAACCAAAACTACACCGGAGTTATTAATAATTAACTGAAACTAACGAAATAACGAAAACTGAAATTGAAAAAACATTTTACTTAACCGAAATAAATACAAACTGTAATGTAATGAAAAAAAGATAACTGAAACTGTATTTTATTTTTACAAACTAACTGAAATAAAGGATAGAATAACCTTCGTTTTAGTGTTTGTGAATTTATTTTTGCCATGTAGACTGATTAAGCTGGTTTTTTTAATCGATACGTTTCACATAAACTGCAGCCAGCTTACGGCCCCTCATGTTCTGTAATGTCAAACAGATACCACTCGACCAAACATTTTGCCTCCCAAAACAGAAACAAAAAGCTAAAAAAATGGAAAATCAACAWTGGCCCCATTTTACATATCGGGCCGATACGATATTCTAAAAAATGACCAAAAACAGGTCAGCTTTTCAGCCTCCATTTTCCGGTGGATGTCCGAGACAAAACAGTCGACCGCTGCGGGCAGTCCTCCGGTCCTTGAAACCGCCTTTCAGACAACGCCAATTTCTGTCGTCGCATTAAAAGCAGAAACACGGAATAATGCCAGAAAAGTCTGCGTGTATGGTCGTAAATAATGATTTAATTCTGAGCGACAAACAGACAGGACTCAATCAGGAAGCTCCGTCGGCCTGTCGCTGACACGTCAGCGGACACAGCCAATAATATACACCATGATAACATCATATGACGTGCTTATAACCAATCACAGATCGCCTAATGTNCAATAATATACACCATGATAACATCATATGACGTGCTTATAACCAATCACAGATCGCCTAATGTACTGTCCAGCCTATCACAGGGCTCCCAGCTCAAAGAGYSTCTTATCAAACAAGAGAGTTCAGTCCGTTGCGGAGTCCTGACGTCTGGACGAACAGATTAACATTGAACAGGTGAAACAGATAGATAATTAGTCCATAACAGTCGGTGATACCGATGTCAATACCGATATATCGTGCATCCCTACTAAGTAAAAAAAAAAACTAACAAATCCACTGTAAAACTAATTATAACTAACTGTAAGTCACAATGAAATAAAAACTAAACTATAATGAAAAAATAATTTTTATGTATTTTTATTTAGAAATTTATTCACTTCGTTTGTACAGAACAAAAAACATGCAATCAAAACAAAATCAAATAAAACGAAAGGCAGCAGCAGAATAAATCTTATATCTGCCCCTTTTTTATCCCCAGAATAAGTTCAAAATGAAAGTAAATTACAACAAAAATCAAAACAATTGAAAAATACACAAAAAACCAAAGCTAAACTTGAAACACCAACTCAAACAACAATTTGCATGAATCACTTATGCTTCTCCATGAAAAGAAAAATACTAAACAATTAAACTCTTGCTCTACTCATCGTCTTAGTTTAAAACTGTGGCATGAACTTCTGGAAAGTCCGACGTGTAAAACTGATGTATTCARTCAGGCCTCAGCTTTGTCTGAACACTCAAATGATCCAGCTGAATCCTTTAAAACACGTCTGTGGAGATCTGACGCAAATAAAAAGTGAAATCAGCCAAGGAACGAGTCATAACGAGCCGAAACAAAGCGTGGAATTAGAGAAGTTCGAACCGGACTTYGTTTCACCTTCATTTATTACTCAAGTTATGAGCGGAGATACTTGCAGCATCATGTATGTGTTACACAAAGACACAGGCCAGAGTTTCAAAACGCACACAGTTTGGTAAGCTGTGAAGCAATGGAGGAAAAAAACAACACAGATCATCATGTTTCTCAATAAATCGTGCAAAAATGCACATTTCCACACAAACCACTTTAACCAGGATTCATTACATTAAAGTTCSTGTGACATGCTTATCCTTCAGATACAAAAGAAAACTTTATTCTATTTAAGAAACTTGGTACACCACTCATTATTTTACCCGTTTGGACACATAACTGGCCTATTTTCTTTTGAACTTGGCTCAGCAAAAGGTAAACAGGAAGTGACATCAAAGGGGAACTCCTTTTAAGAAATATAACTCTCTGGTCTTTGTTTATTGAAACATTATTTGAACTCTGACTCTTTTTTTGATGACTCAAAATAATCTAAAACATCAGATTCCTCTCTACAGTCTCTGTTGAGCATTTTAGCTTAGCTCTGTTTTCATGCAGACATTCCCCTTTGACATCACTTCCTGTTACTTCACATGCAAATATCTCAACAATTGTTCGTCTGAGCAGCATAAAAATTATTTTGTAAAATGTCCTCAATAGCTGCGTTTCCATTGACCATGAAAATGTGCAAATTAGAATTTTGAAAATAAATTTGCTCAATGGAAACACGTCAATTTCGAAAAAAACAAACATTTTTCGACAAAATGTTTTTGCGCTAGGATGAGGTGGTTTTTCGGCCGTATCGAAATTGTTTTTTTTTTTGCAAAGCTGCAATAGAAACACTTTTTTCGCATCACGAGAGTCACGTGATCAACAACCAGCTGTTTCTACTGGTGAAAGACGATGATGAAGAAGATAACAGGAAGTAGAAGTAGTAGTAATATCACAGAAGTAGTATAAAATAGTAAACTCACCGACTACAATTTCCCAAAAACACAGCATACGTAGCCGCTCCCAAGTAGGGACTTGTCTCTGGAAAGCCTCGATAAAAGACGCCGACGTCTCCTCTGATGATGAGCGCTAGTGTCGTGGTAGCAACATGCTATGTGTTTACATCCATCGCCGCCATGTTTGTAATGACTTATCATGAGAACAAACGTATTCACGCGTGACTTTAATAGCATTTCTTACTTAATGGAAACAACAGTTGCGAAACTGTGTTTTTCGACTTTAACAGAATATCGACAAAGTTTTGCGCACATTTGTAATGGAAACACAGCTAGTGTTGTCCTTCCAAAAATGCATTTGTATTATTAAAAATCTTTTTCATGTCACAGACGCTTTAACACCAACAGCCTGAGTCAGAAAAGTGTTTTCTTATTTTCGTTATCAAATCCCGAGATGCCTCTGCAGACATTCCAGACATACTGGCATGGATTACCCAGTTTCCATCTGAGACGTCGGGAAAAGAGGAGAAATAAACTGTTTAAATGAAAGTAGCATTCCTTGAAGGCCTGCGTGTCTCCACTGTCAAACAGGCCTCAGGAGTTGGAGCTCACTCAGGTTTTAGCTCAGTATCTGTAAAACGGTTCGATTTAAAGTTTTTGTGTCCCGGCGCAGGACTCGTTTCCTCTCGTGGTCCACAGACGTTCAGTAGAAACAGCTGTTCTCTGTCTGAGGTTTCATGTTGTGGACAAAAAGCTGCACTTCATCTTTCCTCTCCGATCTGCAGCACAACTTCCTCGTCTTAAAACATGTTGCAACTCTGGCCCCAGGCCATTTTAGTTCTGCTTTTTGTTTTAAAAAAAACACATTTCCAGCAAAAACACGTCTCATTCGGTCTTTTCCTGTTCCAGTCACAAATAAACACAGAATTAGAGAAAAATTAGTTCCGTCATTTTTAAAGAGTCGTGATGGTAAACTTCCTGCTGTGTCTACGCTGTCACTCATCTGCGTTTCTTTTTCTGTTGCAGACCCCATCCCCGAGTCTCCAGACCTGCTGCAGATTTAAAACAAGAATAAAATCAGGTTCTTCACTCAAACAGCCGATCTGGAAACTGTCCTGCAGCTCTCCTCCTCTTCCTCGCCCTCTCACCAGCATCCTGTCCTCACCAGCTGCCTCTGAACAAACCGGACCGTCTCCCGCACGTTTCCTGGAGCTCAGGAGGAGGAAGAACTGCGCTCTTTTTGGATCCAGAAACTATTTCCGCCTGAAACAGCAGCTTGAGGCCAGAAACGGATTCAGGGATTCTAAGCACTGCTCATCAAGTCAAACTCAACAAACTTCGGTTTTTCTACATTTCCTCGTAGGTTTTGGTCGTTTACGTTGGTGAGAACTCAAACCGCCTAAAGATGCCAGTTTTTCCTGTCACTATAGAGCCTGTGCAGCGATGTCATCCAGACTGTTTAGCTAGTTAGCCTAGCATTAGCACACAAACATGAGCTTGAACATATTTGTATTAGTTGAAACGGGTTCAACTTTTGTTGCTGTGACATAGTGCTACAACCAATCAGAGAGGGTTTCATTGACTGACCAATGAGCAGAAAGTTTGCTACATAGTGCACTTAGCTACCACGTTCAACATTATTTTAGCTAACTTCTTAAAAAACATTACAATTTCATACGACACGTCACAAAGTGATTACTAAGATACATAAAAAACAGCTTGAGGAAATCTGTTAGCACCAGGGTGAAACAGTTTGGTACGTTTGTCCTCATAAAATCACATCTTAGTGTGTTTGTTTTTCAGTAACGTTAGCATCGTAAAATTTGTTTAATTTATACCGCGGTAATGCACACCATTCACCAATAAACGTTACAAGAAGCAGTAGAAGAACCAAGCAAATTTCTTGAAGACGAGCAACCCGAGAGTGCGATTTGCAACACCGCCGTCGCTATCGCGTCCCGTGTGTCGGAATTTACCCTGGTTGTGATAATGTTTGTCGGGTTTCACCCTGGTTGTGATGATATATGTCGGGTTTCACCCTGGCTGCAATGACATTTGTCTTTTGTCGGGTTTCACCCTGGTTGCGAAGAAGTTTGTCGGGCTTCACCCTGGTTGCGATGAAGTTTGTTAGGTTTTACCCTGGTTGCGATGACGTTTGTCGGGTTTCACCCTGGTTGCGATGACGTTTGTTGGGTTTCACCCTGGTTGCGATGACGTTTCTTGGGTTTCACCCTGGTTGCAATGAAGTTTGTCGGGTTTCACCCTGGTTGCGATGACTTTTCTTGGGTTTCACCCTGGTTGCGATGAACTTTGTTGGGTTTCACCCTGGTTGCGATGAACTTTGTTGGGTTTCACCCTGGTTGCGATGACGTTTGCCGGGTTTCACCCTGGTTGCGATGATGTTTCTTGGGTTTCACCCTGGTTGCGATGACGTTTCTTGGGTTTCACCCTGGTTGCGATGACGTTTCTTGGGTTTCACCCTGGTTGCGATGACGTTTGTCGGGTTTCACCCTGGTTGCGATGACGTTTGTCGGGTTTCACCCTGGTTGCGATGACGTTTGTCGGGTTTCACCCTGGTTGCGATGACTTTTGTCGGGTTTCACCCTGGTTGCGATGACTTTTGTCGGGTTTTACCCTGGTTGCAATGACATTTGTCGGGTTTCACCCTGGTTGCGATGACTTTTGTTGGGTTTCACCCTGGTTGCGATGAAGTTTGTCAGGTTTCACCCTGGCTGCGATGACGTTTGTTGTGCCCTATGTGTCGAGCCCATTGCGATTCAACATGTCAGCAGTCAGGGACGTGCAGGGGTGAGGGGTAGCCAGATCCCGAATAGAGTTGGTTTCAGGCAGTGGGGGGATCTGAGCTGAAATATTTTTGATGGACGGGGGGCTAATGACTGCTCTTCTCAGTTTCTCCCCTGCATGAMGCTCAAAGAAAATCTTCAGGTTTGAATTTTAAAGTCTTAGTTTTTGCCTCTAACTGAAATTTATTTTTAAATTACTCAACGTGTTCATTCTTTTGCAGTTTCGAGGCTACAGTTTAGCTGATTTTAGGGGTAAATCTCTGAGTTTAAACGGAAGCTCAGCGTCCAACATGTGGGATAAACGACTTGTTTTTGTTGCACGGGCTCTATCAGTCACCAATGATCATGAATGTAGCACTGAGCTTTTGGACTGTTACATTTCACCGGAGCCTCGATCYTTAGTAAAGTCCAAACATGTTCAAAGTGGCATTACGTTGCCTCTTGTAGAATGATTTTTTTAAATTTTGCTTTCTTTCCTGTTTTGTCTTTGCTACCTCAGATACAGTTTGCACCTTTTTTTCCAAAGACTCTTTCCTTCCTGTACCTTCAGCGCCGCACAGGACGCCTTAAAGGTGCTGAAAAACCTTTATCAACAACTGTTCTATTAGCTGTTGTTCTGTACAGAGTTTATTACAAATACATGTAGCCGTACAGGCATGAAAATAATAAAAAAAATCTTTAATTACTGCCATTACACTTTTATTTTAATTTTTTTTGTTTAAAGCTTATTGCTGTCAGGTTTGTGTGCAATGAGAAGGGAGAGAAAAAAAAGATTCAGCAAATTTGTAAAGAAGCTGGTTGAATATATTTATGTTTGAWGTGTGTCGCACTGGGTTTTATGTTCATGCACGTGTTTTTCTTTTCAAAGATTTATACTGATGTCTGTGTGACCGGATGGTTCTGTGAATGCGTATTTGATTTCAAATGAAATTACAGCTTTAAGGAATAATTTCTGATTGAGTTAAAACACGTTTATATTTTTTCACGCTCACTATAATCTGTTATTTTAATGTTTATATTGTAAAAAAAAGGGGGTAAAAATATATCAGAGACGTGTGTTTAGCTGTAAATCTAGCTTGTATAATAAAAGGAACTTTCCAACCTGAAAGTTTTCTGCCTCGTCTCTGACATCAGATCTCTGCAGACAGGAAATGATGAAATATTGAATTTACGCTTTAATCTGAGGTTATATTTGAACCCAAATGATATTATCTGCCAACATATGGCAGGCCATTTTTACATACAATTTGAAATCTGAAAACGAGTTCTGAGTAGGAGCAACTACATTCTGTCTGTCCTGAATGGTAATTACAGAAATCTCAAACATGATGAGTCAAAATTATATTTTTAATATCTGAATTAATAAACTGCACGAAGCCCCCCTGCTGCCACTGAGCCGTCCAAACAGTTACAAAGACATACAATAAATTATACGTGTTTCTTATTTCATGTTGAGCTGCAGAGATATAAAAAAAGGGTTTAAAACACCAGACTTGCAGTTTGATTTCAGACCAAAGAAAGCAGGACAAAATGCTATGAAAATCAGTGACACTTTGACTCAACAGAATAATTATTGAAAATAGCTTGAATATATTTTTGACGAGTCAAAATATTAGTTCAAGACAAAAAAAAGCTGTCTAGATGAACAAAAAAACAAACTCAAGAAAACTGTAATTCATTTAGAGACATCTTACTCCAGGGCTATTCAACTGGCGGCCCATGGGCCACATGACTTTCATCCGGCCCGGCAATGAGGCCCCCACCCCCACACACAAAAAATATATATTATTTGCATTTTCTCTTTATTTTAACTTAATTTAATATATATAAAAATTTAAATCACTTGTAAATTTTAAACTTATGTTTCAATAAAATAAAATAAATTAAAAGCGTAAAAGATAAAACTTGTTCTGATACATGCTGCAGTGTTTAACACCCCCTCCCCTGCCCCGGCCCCCAGTAGGATTTAGCTGATAGCCCCGTCTTTATCAAACACATTTCTAGATAGCTCTAAGTTAGTTTTGGTGAGTCTTTTTTTTATTTCAAGACATCTGCAGTTTAATTTGCACTAGTTTTAATCTAAATATCTAAAAAAAATACACTGAAGATATCCTCCAACCAGCCGGTCGAGGCAGATGGTCTCCTGTCCTGAGCCTGGTTCTGCTGGAGGTTTCTTCCTGATTAGCAGGGAGTTTTTCCTCTCCGTCGTTTGCTCAGGATGGGAGACTGTGATGAAGTGATTCAACACAAYCTGCTGCTTTCTTCTTTACATTGTTCTTTTTATCTACAGTGTCCTGAGACAACGTATGTTGGGACTTGGTGCTATATAAATAAACTGAATTGAATTGAATATCTTGAATAATGATGTCATTTAAGATAGCTTAAATTAGAATTATGACTATTTTGAACTTAAAGTGAGATATCTTAAATTAGGTATTAGATTTCATTTACTAACATGTCTAGTCAAAAGCATTTATAACAACTTTTTAAAGAAACCAGGATAATATGACAACATTTCATTTCCCTTTGGGATTAACAATGTATTATTGAATTGAACTGAATGAAATAATTTCAGTTATCTGTAATGTAAGTGCAGTGTTTTTATTTTAAAATAGCCTGCCGTACAAAGTGAGGGGGTGAATCCCTGTTAATTCCCAGCTCTCTCTCTGTCAGTGTATAAATATAATCTAGATCTTTGCTAAATAAATATATGAACGTCCTAAACTTTGGCAGCACAAGGACACGATGTGTTTACCAACCAGGGAGTCATCAAACAGAACAAGGTTGTTCCACTGGTTCATCCTTGAGACCGTGCTCTCCGGAGAGAAACGGCAGTGAAAAGAGAAAACAATCTGAGCATCACTCGTCTTCACAGGAGACAGGAAGCTAAACGAGATGAGGCGGTGTTTGCTGACGGGTCAGAGTCTACAGCTGTGCAGCCAGGATATTACTTAACTATGTGAATGCTTCCAGCTGAAAACTTCAGCTGAAAATATTTAATAGGAAAAGTGTTAATGTGAGCTCTCTTTGAAAAGCTGAAAGCAAACAAGCCCAACTTTGCAGAAAAACTGTAAAAAGGAGCACAAATCTAGCTGAAACCAGAAAAAATTTAAAAGCTAAAATAGCTGAACATAGCTGAAAACATCTGTAAGAAGCATGAATAGCACTAGTTAGCATAAAAAAGCAGAAAAACAGCAGAAAGAAGCAGATCTATAGTTAAAGTAGCATAAAATAGCTAAAATTAGCATAAAATAAGCTAAAGGTAGCAGCCACAATTTGAAATTAGCATCCATTTGAAATAGTTATAGTTGAAAAATAGCTAAAACTGAAAAAAAGCAGTAAAGAATTACATAAAAGTGATAACTAAAACAGCTGAAATTTTCAGTAACACAGCTAAAAAGTAGCTGGAAATGTTTTAATTAGTAGGGGTGTCCCGATCCGATATTGATATCGGATATCGGTCCGATATCAGCCAAAAAAAATGAGTATCGGATTTTATCGGCCTGCATAAAAAATGTCCGATATAAGCGCTCCGATATTAGCAGTCCGCTCCAGCAGTTCACTGACTCCGCTCCAGTGTTTCTATCCAGCAGCGCTTGGATCCAGCATGCAGCGCTCACGTGATCACAACAACATGCTGCGCTAACAAGTTAGCAAGAATGTCGGCAGAACTTTCTATTTTCATCAGAAACAGAGTTGAAGCTAAGTGCAAAGTTGTCACGCACAAGTTTTCCGTTGGGGCACAGAACCGTGAACGTTTTAAACCGGAGCGACAACTACTCTCCACCCTGGCAGCAGCTTTGCGGTTCGGCTCGGTTCAGCCTCGGTCCAAAAGTGTCTCCATGATTCCAACCGAGCAGAACCTCCTCTCACTCCGGTGGTTCTAGCGGGCAGAAGCGAGGACAGCATGCTTTTTACGGTTTTGACATCAGCAGAATGTTGCCCGTGGATTATCTCTGGGATTGATGAACAGAAGAAAGGAAGAGCGCAGATTTTGTGTTGGAATACGAGCGACACGATGAGAGCAGTGATAAAAACTGCTCCCTGCAGGAGAGAGAGGCTAATCTCCACATGATGCTCAGACTGTAGAAGGTATTAATAATTAACTGACTGATTCTTACTACTTATTTTTGCTCTTGTTTGTAGAGTGATGTTTAATCTATTCACACACTTGTTTTAGTGAAGATTAAGTGCAATGATCACGTTGTTTTGATTACAGTCAGTAAAACTGTAGATGTGGACTCTTAACTTTGAACAGACAATAATGTGGGCTTTTGTTTTGTCCCCACCTTCAGTTATTCCCACCATAAAGCAGCACAAGGCTGACAGATGGTAAAAAAAATAAATAACTGGAGTGATTTTGAATTATTTTACACTTTAAAAGTACATTTTGTTTTTATTATGTTATTTTTTCAGTGTATTGTAATTTATTTTATTTATTAAATTGTAGAATGTTCTTCAGTTTAAAATGTATGTGATCCATTGGTTAAAAATAAATGGGTCAGTTTTTCTCATACCTACTCTTTTTCACTGTTTGATCTGATCAAGACTTTTCTAAGATTTTACATTACAAAATAGGTAAAAKTGTGTGACTTGTACTGTTATGGTAACGGGTCAATATCGGTATTGGACAATTCTCAAAGTTGCAATATTGGTATCGTATCGGAAGTGAAAAAGTTGTATCGGGACATTCTTATTAATTAGCATTAGGAAGTATAAGGAGGCACAAGTTTGCTGAACTCAGTTGAAAACTTTTGTAATAGCTACAAAAAATGTGTATTTACCTTAGAAAAGCTAAGGTTTGCTAATAGCAGCTTATCAGCTAAAATTTCAGCAAATAGCTGAATATAGCAAAAAGCATCTGTAAGAAGCCTAAATAGCACAAAGTAGCAGAAAAAAGCACAAAAACGTAGAAAAAAGCAGAACAATAGCGGAAAAAAGGCTGAATTTTAGCTGAAATAGCAGAAAAAAAAGCTAAAATTTGTAAAAAAAAAAATAAAAAATTAGCTAAAATTAGCACAAGAAAGTGAAAACAAGCAGAACCAGAACAAAATGTGTGAGGTGTTGTAAAGATTTAGAAACATTTTAAAGGAGTTTAAGGATGTTGAAAACAGCTCCATTAATTTTCAACAGAAAAAAAAAGTGGCTAAAAAAGTTAAATTGCTAAAAAATTATAAATAGCTGAATTACCAGCACCCCTCACATGAACGAGCTGAACGTTTTGAATTTGTGGAACGAGTTAGACGCTGAAAACCGTACGGAAGAAAAAAGATCTCAGTAGTGTGATTGTGTCTGTATCAGCCGAAAGTCTCCCTCCAGCTTTAGCTGCTCCTTACCGACAGAGGCGGCGCGCCGTCGTCCTCCACGGTGACCACGAGGCGATAGTCCTGCTGGCGCTCGCGGTCGGGCGGCGCCGGTCGGGTCACGATCTCTCCGGTCATGCGGTCCATGCGGAACGTCATGTCCTCGTTCCCGGCGGTGATGTAGTAGAACAGCATGGCGTTGGAGCCGATGTCTCGGTCCGTGGCCACCACGCGCAGAACCGACGTGCCTCCGCCGACGTTCTGCAACATTTCATCCAGAATGATCACTCGCCGTCAGCCGTAGGATGAACAASACTTAAATATCAATAAAGTAACTAATAACACGATGACGTGGACACGTCCCTACCTCGTTAACGCTAACGTTGTAGCCCCTCGGGCTCTGAATGACAGGTGGGTTGTCGTTAACGTCCAGGATGTTGACAGTCAGAGAGTTATCTGTGTACCTGGGAGGTGAGCCGTTGTCAGTGGCTCGCACCTGCAACAACACAACCGATGGAAACCTCAATGAAACAAGACAAAGCTTAAATAAACATGTAGACTTTATTTATATACTTCAGCATTCTTTACCGTCAATGACTGGAAGCCTGGTACTGTCAGTGTAAAGTGCTGAATGACTTAAATATTTAGCTAGCCACCTAAATATTAAACTTAAATATTTAGCTAGCTACACTAAAATTTAACTTGCAACCTAAATATTTAGCTAGCTACCCAAATATTTAGGTTGCAACTTAAATTTTAGTGTAGCTAGCTAAATATTTAAGTTAAATATTTAGGTGGCTAGCTAAATATTTAATTTGCAACCTAAATATTTAGGTAGCTAGCTAAATATTTAAGTTAAATATTTAGGTGGCTAGCTAAATATTTAACTTAACTATTTAGCTAGCTACCGAAATATTTACCGGTAAGTTAAATATTTAGGTAGCTAGCTAAATATTTAAGTTAAATATTTAGGTGGCTAGCTAAATATTTAACTTAACTATTTAGCTAGCTACCTAAATATTTACCGGTAAGTTAAATATTTAGGTAGCTAGCTAAATATTTAGG